TGTATATATATATATATATATATATATATATGTATATATATATATAAATTATAAATTGCTTTATATATAGAAATTTCTTTTGTCACATTCCCCTCAGAGTAGGGATGTGAGGTGACATGGAAAGTTAATTTATCAGGATTTCACATTCACAGTCACATTGCTCTTCTCCAGAGAGTCCTGCTTCCTGTATGACTCTGCCAGCTAAACGTGTGAGGATGCTCTCTGCCGCGGCTGGGCCCAGGCCTGCTCCTCTGCAGGGAGAGAGGGATTACACACTTTATTAGAACTCCCTCCTCTCACAGCCTACTAACAAAGAAGAGGTTCCCTCTAATCAGAAGAAAGGCAGAATTTGCTCTGTGGTGGAGGAGAACGCTAAAGGTCTGAAAGGAAAGAATATCATTATTTTGGGCTAAATGCATAAATATACATAGACAAGCAATTACCTGACCTTTTATGAACAAGTAAACATCCCTGAAAATGTATTTTATATATTTAATTGAATTGCAAAAGTAATCTTGCTAGCTTTTGTTTTTTATTTTCAATGAAAGGTAGAAATGAAGACTAATAAGTATATGTTTGAATTGGATGAAAAATGAAACATGGGTGGATTTTGTTTTTCATGGCAAAGTATGGATTTAACTGATTTGCAAAGTGAAGAAGTAGAACATGTAATTTAATGCTGTACATAATGTAATATTCATCCAGAAATAGTGAGGGGAGAAGACAGAGAAGGGTACTCTGATTCTTTTTCAATTACGCCCACGCCTGGATTACAGAAGAAGCTGCAGAATTAATGAAAAATACCCAAAGTAAATAGAAATATTCTCAGTGTTATAGTGAAAGTGTATGTATTTCACTTTTAACATAGCATGCAACAGAATGGTAAGTGGGCAGATTTAGAAAAGATCAGGATATGGGCATGTTGTTGTATTTAAAATGACTTGAGGCCATTTTGAGATACTAAGACTCGTAGATTTTCTTCAGGGCTTTTGTCAGATAAGGTGGGGGAATGTATAAATTTAAGGTATACAGAAATTTTATTTTTCTGCCCAGATTTTACGGAAGATCGATCCATCCCTCTTCTGTAACCACTTATCCTACTCAGGGTCGCGGGGTGGGGGGGGGGGATCTGGAGCCTATGAGCTCCAATGTGGCAGGGAACCAACCCATCACAGGGCACACTCACACACCATTCAAACTGATGGGCAATTTGGTAACTCCAGTTAACCACAGCAATGTTTTTGGACTGTGTGTTGGGGGCAGGGGGTACTGGAGTAGCCAGAAGAAACTCCACAACAACAGGGGGAGAACATGCAAACTCTACACACATGGAGCCATGGTGGACACTCAAACCCTGGTCCCAGAGGTGTGAGGCAACAGTGCTAACCACTGTGCTGCCCTTTTTGCAGAACAATAAGGTTATATCAGTTAACAATAAGCAGAAAGTAGTGAAAAAAGGATGATTTTAAACAGCGGAATTTTGACTTGTGAGCTTGCTGGTGTTTTTGTTACTCTGAAGTAACATGGCTCTGAAAGTGAGTAAATATGGTCTAATTGCAACAGCGTAGGCGGCAACTTCTGAAGGAAGATTTCCACCATGAGGCTGACATAAGAGCATGCAATATTCCGTCAGAGATATGACTGGAATATGTATATGAAGTAGATGATTGAAGGCTTCATATTAACACAAAAAGGCTGTTGCGGTGAATGACTGAATAACAATCTCAAAAGGAATATTTTGTATTCATAGTAACACTGGCTGTTTATTTTATAAAATAAATAAATGGGTTGTATGTACACGTTCCACATATGCATCTGAAATGATGAGAAAATGAACGAAACACCCTGTGTTACTGGTAGAGCTGAGTCCTTCTGTAATTCATTATCACATAATACGGCATAGACAACCTGGTAATTAATTCTTCCTTTTAAAATGGCTGCACTGCATTGCAGCATCCCAAAAATATCTAAAACAAAAATAAATTAGTTAATGCATCTTACTGGTGCAGCGTGACTCTAGTACTTTAATCAGTGTATTATATTATATAATTATACTTTATTATATGTTATATCCATCTGTCTAACTGTCTTCCTGTGTCTGACTGACTGACTGTATTGATCTGTATAATATACACTCACCTAAAGGATTATTAGGAACACCATACTAATACGGTGTTTGACCCCCTTTCGCCTTCAGAACTGCCTTAATTCTACGTGGCATTGATTCAACAAGGTGCTGAAAGCATTCTTTAGAAATGATGGCCCATATTGATAGGACAGCATCTTGCAGTTGATGGAGATTTGTGGGATGCACATCCAGGGCACGAAGCTCCCGTTCCACCACATCCCAAAGATGCTCTATTGGGTTGAGATCTGGTGACTGTGGGGGCCATTGTAGTACAGTGAACTCATTGTCATGTTCAAGAAACCAATTTGAAATGATTCGAGCTTTGTGACATGGTGCATTATCCTGCTGGAAGTAGCCATCAGAGGATGGGTACATGGTGGTCATGAAGGGATGGACATGGTCAGAACCAATGCTCAGGTAGGCCGTGGCATTTAAACGATGCCCAATTGGCACTAAGGGGCCTAAAGTGTGCCAAGAAAACATCCCCCACACCATTACACCACCACCACCAGCCTGCACAGTGGTAACAAGACATGATGGATCCATGTTCTCATTCTGTTTACGCCAAATTCTGACTTGACTTGAATGTCTCAACAGAAATTGAGACTCATCAGACCAGGCAACATTTTTCCAGTCTTCAACTGTCCAATTTTGGTGAGCTCGTGCAAATTGTAGCCTCTTTTTCCTATTTGTAGTGGAGATGAGTGGTACCCGGTGGGGTCTTCTGCTGTTGTAGCCCATCCGCCTCAAGGTTGTGCGTGTTGTGGCTTCACAAATGCTTTGCTGCATACCTCGGTTGTAACGAGTGGTTATTTCAGTCAAAGTTGCTCTTCTATCAGCTTGAATCAGTCGGCCCATTCTCCTCTGACCAACAAGGCATTTTCGCCCACAGGACTGCCGCATACTGGATGTTTTTCCCTTTGCACACCATTCTTTGTAAACCCTAGAAATGGTTGTGCGTGAAAATCCCAGTAACTGAGCAGATTGTGAAATACTCAGACCGGCCCGTCTGGCACCAACAACCATGCCATGCTCAAAATTGCTTAAATCACCTTTCTTTCCCATTCTGACATTCAGTTTGGAGTTCAGGAGATTGTCTTGACCAGGACCACACCCCTAAATGCATTGAAGCAACTGCCATGTGATTGGTTGATTAGATAATTGCATTAATGAGAAATTGAACAGGTGTTCCTAATAATCCTTTAGGTGAGTGTATAGTGTCTGTGAACAAGAAATTGAGCCTTCAGGGAACCTAGTCTCTGTGCTAGTTTGTGGTAGGGGTAACTTCTCATTGGGTTATAACACTTCTAGCCAGGGATACAATTGATAGTAATGGTGAGCTAGTTTATCAAAACAATATAAAGCACAATTGCTTTTGCATGGTGCAAATAGTTCCATGTAGGAAAAAAATTAATTACTCCATCAATTAACAATGAGCCCCTTTCCTCTGTTTTGATCCCACTGCGAGAAGGGCCCCATGAGAGATAACGAAACACTCAAAGAAAGGCCTTGATAAGTTATTAAAGGAAAAAAAAACATTTTGTTCAGTGTCAGGATTTGAAGTACCCCACAATATTTAATTAGAATTGTAAGATCAATCACCTACATCTGTGCACTTTTATGAGGTTCATTGTGATGAAAATTCTTCAGCTAAGAAGGAACCAACAAAGCCAGGTTCCATTTGCATTTTGTGCATGTCTTTCATAAAAATTAATAGATTAGACTGAGGTCTCCTGATTAGCTTTATCTCGAAGGTTTTGATGCAATAATTGAGAGTAAGTAAATATACTCCTCACTTCCGTCAATTCTTTTCTCATGTATATATAGTTTGCATCTATCTTTTAAGATAAAGGAAAATAAAAGGAAAAGGAATACATTTAACATTTTCTTTTACTCAGCTGCTTAATTGCCTCTATCATACAATAATCTGAAGCTGATTTTCAAATGGAGTTCAAGATTAAAGAGGGTGGTTTTTTAATATATATTATATATATTCCTCCTTTCCTGTTAACCACCCTCCCTCCCTTTTCTTCTCTTCCTGGATGCAACGCCCTACCTCTGTGATAAGAAGTGAGCTCTAACCTGAGCAGCCAGGCCCATGACTACACCGACTGCCGGGAGGGCGGAGCTGAGGCCAGCCTCATGGTGTCCCCGCTGGTGGTGGCAGGGATTGTTATCGGCCTGGTGCTCTTCCTGTCCTGTGTTACCATCATTGTGGGCAGTTTGCGCAAAGACGGCCGGCTACATAACCCCCACCTGCGCCCTAGAGATGGTATGGCCCAGGACCAGCCCCGAAACATGCAGATCCCACACGCTTAAATCTCAATATAAAGTTACCCTAAATGAGTTGTGATGTTTCCCTTTCAACTTATCAGCCCCATTATGAACTTCATAAAGCTACTTATGTGCTTTTATTTTTCTTAAGAAATATCATGTAGATACTCTCTCCATTGAGCAATGCATTATCACTGTTCATTTTTTGAAGAGATTAATGTGGGCTTGCTGCAGCTTTTTAGGGACCAGAGCTAATCTGAGCTATATCACAGGATTCGAGGATTAGTCACAGAGCATCAGCAGCACCTCTGCCCTTAGCTAATTATGTAGTGAAAAAGCAACAAGCTTTGCTTCAGTCCATTAATCACAGACACCACAGAGCTACACTACACTGTTTACACTTGTGTAATTAAGAAAGGCACTCTAGCTACAAGGCAGAATATTAAGAATTTTAACCTTTTGTTTTTCCTAATGTATTTCAGCCTAATAATTTTTGTGAAGGAATAATAATGTGTTGCTTAAACCTTGGGGTACATTCACAGTCTCGGATGGCCTCTCCCATGGTGGCTCCGTCGGGGAGCTGAGGTGGACGTGCATTGCGGAATTCCCCCCAGCCTTTGATTTCAGCTCTTATGCAGAAAGTCCGTCTCACGGCAACATGATGTATCCTGATGCACCGCCTCAGTGAGTGACCTATTGATTCCACTTCATGACCGCATACTGTATATATTACTGTTTCCCAACCCGGTCCTCTGGGACCTGCAGTCCATGTTTATGCGAACTGGGAGGGACCAAACACATGGACTGGCCAGAGGCTGGGGGTTGCCAAGGACCAGGTAGAGAAACATTGGTATATATAGATGTGCTGAAATTCAGGACATAGTCAGCCCTGTAATCAGCTCATATTGTCTTTAAATAAACTGACAGTATTGTGATTTGCATATTTTTTTGATAGTACAGTAGTCCCCCCAGTATGTTCAGGTGATATGTTCCAAGGCCCACTACAGAGAGCCAAAATTGCAAATAATAGCAAACCATCCGCGGACCCCATAAATAATGTGATTTTCCTGTACATACAAGTTTAATTGATAAATTATGCACAGTAGGACAATATCAACCTTAAATACAGTAATAATAAATAATAGTCACTGTACTTTATTATTATTATTATTATTATTATTATTATTATTATTATGCAGTACTGTACAGTCTCTCTCTCGCCATCTCTCAATCTCTCTCTTTCTCTCAAATTAGGGGGATCCTGATGTTTTACCCTAATTCTCAAGAGATGATATATCAATGAAAAAATATCATGTACCAAGGGATGAAATATGAAAATGTTTTTTATACCCCTCAAAGGACAAAAATAAAAAAATATAGGCTATTGTTTCACATTTTACAGTGAAAAATATTGTATCATCTACCTGTACATAACCTGTAATAAGAAAACATATATATTTGTTAAAAACATAGTTTGAAACATAGGAAACATCTCTGGATTTTTTTTTCCTTTTTTTTTTTTTCCTTTTTTTTTCCAGATTTCGGTAAACTGCGGATAACTGAAACTGTGGTTAATGAAACCACAGATACGGGCGTCACATTGTTTAATCAATAATATAAATGTTCACGTATATTTTTGCTCAGATAATCAGTAATGTAAAAGCAGAGGTCAGGTTATAAAAATATTTCAAGGTGGATGGTGGGGGGGCTCACCATAAAATTTCCTGGGCGGATTACTGACGATAAAAATTCATTTCAAGGTTCAGGTTAAATTGTGTTTTGGTCTGGAATACAAATCAGAGTCTGCCTTTTAAGTACCCCTGATATAGTCGGTATATTTACCTTTACATCAATGGAATTGCACAAAAAAATGTAGGGGTTGGTGAGGGGCAGGGCTACTGTTAGAGATTTTGGGTCCCACGACAGCATATCGTATTGGGATCCCAAGCCAGACTAATTCAGTTATGTTCCAAATTTCTTAGGACCCCTGTCACTCAGGGGTTGTGAATATCTGCCATTCGTTCAAATTGCAGGCTTTTCTTATGCTGTTCAAATATACGGCATTTACTGGGCTTTTCCTTATGAAGAGTGTTCATACTCAGCACTCCTTCCTGAACCTGCTGTCTGCGGCACCGAGCCCAGAGTGAGCAAATCCACTGACGGAGAAACACTTACAGTGCAGGAACTGGCAGGAAGGGACCAGTGCTACCTAACAGGCCCCTGAGCAACTTGAGAAAACATTTAATGTGATAATGATTCACCTCTGTAGTAAGATTAATGGGGAATTGAGAGGGTGATCGAGGAGGAGACAATGGGGTGGAGACCCCACTGAAAAAAGCGGCTGTTACATGAGTTTATGTTCAACTTGTATGTTGATGGAGAAATGTTTTAACTGTGGAATTTGACATTGAGTAGGTATGAAATCACCTTAAAAGACAGCAATGAGCATTTTGCTGGTTTTTGGACATATTGGAAGATCTTGCATCTCCTTTGGTGCAGGAGCTTGTTTGCCTTTCCAACTGTAAACAGATCTGTCAAGCAGTAAATTATGATGAATATGGAAATTATTTCCATATGCTAGGATGCAGAATGCTGTCAAATGCCTCTGAATCCTGTTTGGACCATTTTCTTTGGTGTTAGTAAGCTTTCTCTATAACTGTCATGCAAGCTTGATCTGAGATGTGGGGGACGGATGGAGGGCACATCCGTACATATTGGGTTGAGGTCCTTTATCTTTTCTGGAGCTCTGGGTCTTCTTACAAGGGGAGAGGGAAACAATGTATTCCATGTTTTTGGGCCCCCTTAGACACCCCATCCAGGTCTATGGAACTGTAAAGAACAGAAAATTGTTTTCCAAATCTGTGGGGGCTGAGAGTTCTGTCACATTATAATATGTGTTTATTAAAACAAAAGCATTGTACACTCACATGGTTTTCTAACCCGTAAATAACCAAAAGCTATCCGTAACACTTACTCCCGGTGGCAGACAGAGCTTCGTGACATAGAGGATGGGGGAGGGGGCGGGGATGCGAGTTTTATTGGAGGATGGGAGTAGAGATTGGTGTAACAAAAATGATGGGGAGGAATGAAAACAAAATGACTGTTGGCCCAGCATGAGCATGTGGGAAATCAGACATACAGAGTCCAGAAGAGCTGCGGTAGATCTGTGCTCTGGGTATGTGTACATTTACTGAGTGTCTTACGCTTTCAGAAAACACAATACTTAGAAGCTGATTGTCAGTGAAACATGGACCCAAGGAAATCTCCTCTGTGGTTCATTGAAACGAGGGTCTGCTGGATAATCGTCACATTTCTTTACAGATCGTGGCCAGGTTTCAGCAGCGCACGACTGGATCGTCCGCAGCCGGACGCCGCAGAGTTGCCCAGACCTGTGGTGCAGCTCTGGCTTGCAGTGCTATGAATGTGCGGGGGCAGATGGAAGGCTTTGGCTCTGGGAGGGGGTAGGGGGGACGGGCACGTGATGTACCGCAGGGCAGCGTGGCCACAGATGGCACGGGGGCTCTCAGAGCTCGGCCTAGCGCTCACCTGTGGAGCCCAAATGGAGAGACGGAGAGAGCATGGGCATCCAAGTGACACATTCAGCAGGGCAACAGGCACAGGGGATGGGAGGAAACGGCCAAATGTACCATGGTGAAGGTAGATTGGGCCATATGTTGCTGTCAGTGTTTCAGCTTGTGACGCAGGTACGCACTCAGGTCCCATTGATTAATGGCCCATTTTGTTGGAAAGCATCACATACTGCTGCATGAACTGAGGTTCTGACTTATACTGACGCTACTCCAGACAAGCAGCTCACAAAAACCACAAAGCCTAAACTGAATAAGGTTGTTTACAGGTATTTGTTTACGCAGTGTGTGGCTATGTGGGTTAGGAGTCATGCCTGTGATCAGAAGGTCGCCAGTTCTATGCTAGCAATCCTATGGCTGAGAGAATGATGTCACTTTTGGGCCCTTGAGTGAGGCCCTTAAACCCCAATTGCTCTACAGTGTCCAAAAAACAGGGAAAGCCTGGCTATGATTTTATTCCCCAAGGTACAAACAACACTAGTATACCCACAAGGGTGCAAAAATGTTTATCTGAGTCCATTTCTGTAACTTAAAGGTACATTTACCTACAGCTATAATGCGAGATCCCTGAGGATAGGCCTAGTGATAAGTAATTATACCCTAAAGGGTACAAATTGTTATTTTTTCTGGCAGTGCATGGGGTGCTGGCTGATCCTGTGCTGTGATTTCCCCCCCCCCCCCCCCCCCGCCCCCATTTTATGCTCATCTGTATGTGTCTGTGTCTCATGGAGAGCAAGATGGGGTAGGCAAATACACAATTCTATTTCTTTGTTAGATTAATGGGATGTCATTTATGGTAGAATTACAGAAAAATACTGGGTTCCCACAGATATATTTATGCCCTGTAAAGCCTTGTTGGCTTTACTGGTCATAAAATAGGTACCGTATTTTCCGCATTATAAGGCGCACTAAAAAGCCTTTGATTTTCTTTAAAAATAACAGTGCGCCTTATAATCCAGTGCGCTTTAAACGTGGATTA